ACTACGCAACCATATTTCACACATTGCGTCAGAAATCCGAATCCGTCAAATAAAAGATATATTGACTCACAAAAAGCACGTTTTTATGTCTGATGTCGTAAGCTCTAATAATTAGCATATTCAAGGTTGCTCTCTCAAACCTTTAAGATTGAGTCCTGGAACTTGAAGATCCGATCATTGGATCAAAAGTTATTCAGGGTGGTCCATTTCCTTTTTTTTTTTTCGTTTGGCCCACTGTACATTGAGTTCGTGAAAGAAGAATTAGTTCATAAATGCATCAAACATTAATTGCTGCCTTTAAGGAATGTTTATAAGGGCCGTGGAAAATTTGGAAAAAAAATAGTGGAAAGAATCTCCTTTTATAGGGACGAAGATATGCACTTTTCCCATAAAAATGTTTGCAATAATTAACTATCGGACTTAGAGGTTTTTTTGGGAATCTAAACCCCTCCCCTTGCCTTAACACCAAGAATTCAAAATCAAAAGTAATTGAATTGTTTCCAACGGACAGTTAGGAGCATGGAAAGAAATCCATAGTTGGCGATTTATCAGAAGGTAAAATTACAAAATATAACGCCAATCCCATGCAATTAACATTACATTTGAAATAATTTGACTATAGCTTAATCACCAAATAGAACTTAATATAAACCTGTGACGGAAGCATTTTTGTGGTTAAAGCAGATTAAAGTTTAAAATAGATTTTGATATTCGATGTGATCGCGACAGTGAAATAATGAGTTATACTTTTGTATTAAATGAAAAAATTAACCGTTACATTGATAGTTAAGAGAATAAAATATTTATATTCACGTTTTGTAAAACGCGATACAAATAAAATAATAGATTTAATTTAATTATAATCTAATTACTAAACTAAACTCAGTGGCTCAACAGCCCAAAGAGGGCCAAGGCCTACTGTGTCCATCTCAGTTTTCTTGGCCTTGGACTCTGGGGTGCAGGAGCAGATATTCCGGTTAGGTGGTCAGCCGAACGCGAAAGCCCCAGTGTTCAGTTCCCAAGCATGCTTGGTGCTCATTTATCGACCCACTGAAGGGATGAAAGGCTGAGTCAACCTTGCCCGGTCCGAAGGTCGAACCCAGGATCTGTGACACAGGAGCGCGAAGCGCTACCTCTCAGCCACCGGGCGTCATGGTCTAATTAAGAATGATTTAAAAAAATAAATTCTGAAATTAAAGAATTTTGAAAAGCTGGGAAATATGTAATATCTATAATAGCATCACAATCCTACTCTAATTTTGTTTTGTAACTTCCTTACTACAATATATAACAGATCAGATGTTAGTACAATACTTTTTTACTAGTAAAAATATATCTCAATAATTATACAGAAGAAATTAAGATTTTACTGCCCTTTTTTCCCAACTTATTTATTTTTCGGTTATGAGTGTTTTTAAGACAAAACATCAAAAATGACTTAATCTTGCTACTGCTTTACAGCTTTACGCGTTGCTGTAACGATATCTGACATCTAGTTACAGCAACACGTAAGGCTAGGTTTAGAATTGAAATTTTAGGCCGCAAGCAACAATAGCAATCACATTAAATTCAGTTATTGATTTTTTGAATGCGTATTATTCCCATTTTACTTATTTCGTATTTACTTGTATTCCCTTGCTACCAGCACATGGCTACATAATTTGGTTTCTCTTTTTATTCTTATTTGAAGCACAAAATTAACATTTGTATTACGGGAATAGAGAGCATATAAGTAGAGAGAGTAAAGAGAGGGAATAGAGAGTACGGGAATATAGAGAGTATGTGATTGAACGGAGAGAAGCAGGCAAAAATTTTTTTTAAGTATCACAATTTTCTATGCTTACCAACCTTACCGATCAAAAACAAAACGTTTAAATGTTTTACTCGTCCTCCGAGTAAATCGGGTTAATTTATTTATTTGTATCTCGTCACGCCCTATTTAAGGGCATGCGAGAGTAGATACATAAAACATACATAAAACTTACGCAAAACATCAGAAATTATATCAACAACAATTATAAAAAGAATAAAACACAAGCGAACAACAGCTAAAAACATGACCCTAAATCCAGCCAACACATTGAAAATCACAAAGATCATAATTAAAAGAGTGAAAACAATATATACATAAGAGTGAATAAAACACGCATATGGTACACGTGGTAACACGTGGTAAAAGCAATGCATAAAATTAAAAGATTACATAAGGAACAAACTGGAATAAAATTTACAGTTAAAACATGACCCAAAACCAAGTCAAACATGAATAAAACCGATCATATAAAAGGAATAAGTAAAAGTAAAATATTACATTAAGAACAAATTGGAAAAAAACTAGCAGTTAAAACATGACAAAAAACCAAGTCACACATGGATAAAACCAATCAAATTAACAATAAACGTACATTAAAAAGTGTAGTAAAAGCTTGAGACACCCAATTCGGAGTGCGGGGTTCCGAATCCTTAAGTGTCACCACCCAAAATATCTTCAAGTGTCTTTTTTATGATACATTTAATAATACTCCTGCAGGTCGAATTAGCAAAACATTGAATTTGATTAAAATTTTTAGAATGTTCTCCACGGAGCGTTCGGAAGCGTGGACAGTATAAAATTAAATGATCAATGCTTTGTATTTCTCCACAATAATTGTAATCAAGGGCTCTATTGAAAAATCTATTTTGATACTCACCGAACTCTCCATGGGCCCTTAAGAAATTGATTAAAATAAAAATAAACTTATTATATAAACCTTAATAAACTTATACGTTTGTCTGCCTTTCTTGGAATCCCGCCACTCCTGCTTCCAACTCATGAAATTATAGCCTTTGTCCAATGTTTTGACTTGGGCGGTGGAGCTCGGGACCTCAATGTCAACATTGCCGAGACTGGTGGCGTTTTTAGCAACTCGATCCGCCTCCTCGTTGCCTTCAATACCAATGTGGGCTTTTACCCATCCGAAGAGAATATTATTTTTCCAGATTTGTTTGGTGTTTTCTACCAATTCGGAATCGAGTTTAGGATTTTTTTAAAGCTTGCAACGAGGAGAGCGAATCAGAGTAAATAGTTGCATTGGGATATTGGTTATTTGCAAGCCATTGTAAAGCAGTGTTAATCGCCATCATCTCGGCCTTGTAAACACTGCAGTTATTGCTCAGTCTGATGGAGGTTGCCAGAATGAGTTTTCCATCTCTCCTGACTATCATTCCCATTCCTGTTCTATGTTCAGAGGTATTATTCATAGCATCAGCAACCTCCATCCGCGAGCCATTCGTAAAAATCTCAATTCCCTTGTTAGTTGGGGTCAATCCACCAAAGGGGACGGATGTATAAAGAGAAGGGTGAATATTAATAACTGGTTTCTCGAGTATCGGTGTTCTTAGAATTTCTTGAATATTACGGTCGTATTCCTCAATTCTGTAATTCCATCTTAACCTCTTTATACAAGTATCCTCAATAATTCTTAAATGAATGGGTTTCACCCCCGCCAGTATCTGGAGGGCCTCAGTGCTAGTTGTTGAATAGGCCTTTGTGATCACTATTAAGGATGTTCTTTGAATGGCATTAATTTTATCGTTAATTCCAATAGTGTTACGATACCAGACACTGGCGGTATAAAGTATGATTCTCTCCGTTGCCCTCTGGTAGATAATCTTTAAAAGTTTTGGTTTCATGCCCCAAGTTGCCCTGGCCACTCTCTTAATCAAATTATTAAATTTACCTACTCTCTCCTTAACGTGATTCAAGTGAACTATCCAAGTCAATCCTGGGTCAAAGAGAATTCCTAGATATTTAAGAACTTGCACCTGTTTAATAGATTGTGTATGCTGATAACTCATCTTAATATTTGGTAACCTCTTTATTGTCTTCTTGGTTTTTGGAAAGGTTATACATTGTGTTTTGTTATCACTAAATTTAAGATTATTATTATGAGCCCAGGATGACAGTTCGGAGAGACAGAAGGTGGCCAATTGGTCAAAGCGATAAAGAATTGGATGTCTCAATAACAACAATATATCGTCCGCAAAAGCAATAATACGGCAATCTTCAACTTTCACATCATTAAACTGACTAAAATTGATGCCATAAAAAAAGTTAAAAATTAAATTAACATAAATCAACCAAAGCACCGGGCCAAGTGACGAGCCATGAGGGACTCCCATATTAATATTTCGTTTGAAGATATCTTTGCCCTCTTCATCTCTATGGATAACCTCTCTATCTTGTAAAAAATCAAATATTACTCTAACTAGATTATCGGGCAATTCCAATTTGTTAAGCTCATTTTTTAAAGTTTTCCAATTTGCGTAATTAAAAGCGTTGTCAATGTCCAGAGCCACCCCGATGCTATGTTTCTTCTCTTTCTTCGCTTCCTCCACAAATGATACGGCCTCATAGATAGCATCGTCAGTTCCTCTTCCAGTCCGGAATCCAAATTGGCCAGGGTCAAGAAGCTTTCTACTTTCCAAATATTAAGACAGTCTCTTTGTTAACATCTTATCCATAATTTTTCCCCAGACTGGAAGCAGGGAGATTGGTCTATACGAAGCCGGTAAACTTTTATCCCTATCTGGTTTTGGGATCAGGGCGACTCAGGCGCATTTCCAAGACGCTGGAAAAATATTCAATAGGAGGCAAATATTAAAAATGGCCAATAACCAAGCCCTATTTATGATTAAAAAAATTCCCGAAAAATTTCATTAGGTAGCCCGTCAGGACCCGGCGCTTTGTTGCATTTAAAATCATTGACAATCGCCTCTAGTTCAGAATCAGTGAACGGCGGGTCATCAAAATTCCTCAATAAAGGATTGCCAGGGTCATAGTTGGTGTTAGGGAAGTGGTACGACATGATGACCTGTATCGTTTCCTCAAAGCTTGATGTCGGATTACCTATCTCATTTATAACCGGTTTGTGACTCTCCGCCCTCAGAACTTCCCCCCTTTGCGATTCTGCACGGTGCAGGAAATACTCCGTTTTCATTTACTTTGTCTAGGAAGAGTTTTAGGTTAGTTGTTTTGGCTTTCTAATACTTTTTTTATAGATCGACAGCTGCTTTTTGAATTCAATTCTCAATTTCACACGCTCTTGGTCATCCATTGTCCGTTGGTATCGTCTTCGTAGCGCTCTTACATGCCGACGCATTTGACCCAGAGCCGGATGCCACCATGAGGAATGCCGACGCCTTCCCGCAACTGATTTTAGTTTACTTGCGTTACATGCATTCACAACATCCTCTGTTATTCTCACAATACTGTTTTCCACTTGTTCTGGTATCTCAATGAGACTGAGGTCGTGCATTTCTATAATATCTCGTAGTTTCATCCTGAGGGCTAGCCAGTCGAGTCTTTCAAATTTGATGTTACATTGCCTAGTTTTCTGAATGATCTCGCTCCTATCGATCCCCACAGTAATGAGTGCATGGTCGGAACAAGATATGTTGTCATGCACCTCATATTGAGCCAGTTCCTTAATATTGTCGATAAAAAGATCCACCCAACTCTGACACAGGATAGAGTTATATGTTGGCAGTCCATTAGGATCATTAACGACATCAATATCATGTTGTGCAAAAAATTCCAGAAGAATCTTTCCCCTGGCTTTTGTAGTGGGACCCCAAGCTCTCGACTTTGCGTTAAAGTCTCCAGCAACGATCACTTTTTTGTCAGAGTGTTTGGTCAAGAGTGCTGCCAGGGTCAAAAGATTCCCGGTAATATCCTCGTTTGGAGAAAGGTATACTGATATGAATATTATCTCCTCTCTATCCAAGTTAAAGGTGACTGCAACAATGTCACGTTCATTCATAATGTTAAACAGGTTATTTACCCCTTGCGCAGTTAAAATTGTTGCTCTTAGTTTTACACTCTTATAATGGATTTTCCACTTAACAGGAAAGCCGACAATATTGTTCCTTCCGTCAAAATAGGGCTCACTTAGGCTGATTACTTGCAAATTCAGATCTGTGATATCCTCATCAAGCTGGTGGTGAGCCACGATAGAGTGATGCAAGTTAATATGGCCGATTCTAAAATTATTATTTGGACTATAACCCATAATCGGTTCTTCGTGATTCTCTCAGTTGTGCTCTGTAATATTGATTACATACTCTATCGAACGGTGAGTGATTTACATCCAGTTCCAGTCTGTATTTCTGGTTTGCCTTGTTGCAGTGGGTATAAAATAGGTCTTCCCTACAGTCCTTATCAGTATGTTCCTCTGATGAACAATTTCTGCATATTTTATTTGACTTGCAGAATTTTGCTGTGTCCAACCGAAGCACTCTTGAAGCATTGTCTCACATTTAGGGATTCCTCGAAACCATACCTCTTCCATCTGATGTTTAACTTGTTCCTATACTTTAACCTATTGTATGCCACCGGCGTTATTTCCAAGATCCAGTTCCTCTTCCCACCTTTGGGTTTATGTGATGATTTGATCTTTATTACCTCTTCTTCCAATTCAAAATTCTGGCTAGTCAAGCACTGAATTATTTCCTGTCCTTCCATGAGATTTACAATTTCTTACTCAAAGAACAGAACACCTTCACAAAACTATCACTAGCTAGAAAAAGCGAGTAAATCGGGTTAAAAAAAACATGTTTCTAATCCACAGAAAGGAATCTCTGCTTTAATACTTTTTTTTCAATCCGATTTTCGCCCCGCAGTGGACTGATCGTAAAGACACGAGTAGGGACCGAGGGTGCGCAGTATCGGTCCTTGCTAAACTGTTCTACAGTAAAGTGCTCGACTTCTCGAGCAGGTCTTATAGCTTGCAAAGCAGAGGAGCTATCTCCTCTGCAGAGGATCAAAATTGCGATGGATCATTCTTCGGGTCAACCTCAGGGATGTTTTGCAGACCGTCGCCAATAGCCCACTGTACAGCTCCAGTGAGGCGTAAATAAAGTATCTACCTACCTCAATTCGATTTCCACGTCTCAGACAATATTAAAAAAAACTTCTGAATGCGGTAAAAAAAATTAAAAAAAAAAATTCCTTAAAAAAATACTAAAGGAATATAAAATTTCGAAGCCTGCCAACTGTAACAGTGGTAAAATCAATAACAATTCTTGATAAGATAGAAATACAAATACATGTTTGTAGAGGATGTGGGATTATCGTTCTTTTTACTATTAATTTTAAAACAACACGATACTACAGTTATTTTTTATAATAAAAGGAAAACATTACATTAGAAAGAAAAAGAAAGACCACCTAGAAAGATTTACTAATCTTTTTTCGGTAACGTGGAAAATGTGATAACCATAACAAATCATTCTCGTATAAAGCGTGGAAGAAACGCCATTTATTTCTCCTTAAAATGCTTTCAAAGCCATTTTCAAACCTCTGGAAGATGAAGGCGCACTTAAAACGAAGCCCCTATATTTGTGCATTTTATGCTTTTGGAGAAATTGTTTTAAGCTACCAAGGGAAAGCTTTACTGAATGAAAAAAAATCAGTTATTTCAGTTTTACGTTCATCATGAAAGCGTAAAAAGGGTTGCTGAATTGTTTATTTTTATTTATCATATTAACGTCGAAACACTTAAGGTAATGAGTTTATTTTTTACTATGACATTAAATTTTAACTGATNTAACATTTAATTAACATTTTAAAATTTAATTTTTTAACATTTAATTTTTTAACATTTAATTTTTTAACATTTAATTAACATTTTGACATTTAATTTTTAAGCACTCACGTATTTATATTTAAATTTATTTGTTCTCTTATAACGAAATGCAATGTGTACAAATTTCTTTTAATTCATGAATGAATACTAAACAATAACAGTACATAATTGTGGGATGCGCATACAGTACATGCATAATTAATAGTACCATGCATGCATTGTACGAGCGCGATTCCTTGCATGTTCAGCTAGTCTCTAGATAGTAATGCAAAATTCTTACATAAGTACATGTAAAAAAAAAATACTTTCTATATATAAAAACTCTTAAAGTTTCAAAATTATTCATTTTATCGACTTGTGATTCAGCGTAAGAACAAATACATAGGAACCAATGCCTCACTTGTTTTTATAGCAATGTAACAGGCATGAATAGGTACAAATACAAATCTGTATTTCTGTACATACATACCAAATAACTTCAAAATAATTTTTCCAATCATCTCGTGATTATTTTCCCCCTATTCAGCTTAAAAAAATGCAGCAGATACAATGCCTCACATACTTACATGAGATACATACATCCCCCCCCCCGTTAAAAGACTGAAATATACATGAGAGAAGAGGGGGTGGGGTTCAACCATTGTTTATGAAACCTAACAAAGCTTTATGTGACAAAAATCTTTGTTATTAATTCCACTTTGTATAATTGCTTTGTAATTATTTGCTGCCTTATAATTTTCATTAAAGCATGCTGATTTCAATAACTGAACGGTTTGTTTGAATATTTAGTAGTAATAACACATAATTTTGGCAAAAATAAAAAGTACACTAATTTTATTAATTTTTATCCTAAGAGAAAATAAGTATTTCAGAAAATAGGCAGGCTGTAATGACGAAAAGAAATACACGATTTTATCTAATTTATTTATATAAAAAAAAGGTGATACATGATGTTTAGTTTAGGAGATTAAGCTCTAGTTTACTTTTATAAATATATTACACTGCATTATTAATGTGATTATTAATAATTATAATGACGATTCTTTTCAAAAATACAACTCTAAGGTATAAGTCAAACTAAAAATCTGTTTACAATAATTTCCAAAATTAGGAAATGAAAAGTTTATCTGTATGCCTGAATGTATTTGTACTGAAAGGTAAAATTCCCGTTTAGGAGAAACGTAATAAATTATTACATTATTTTTGCCTTCAATGATTTTTAAGTCATTTTAATAATCGGCACTAATTTTATTTCATTTTATAACCCTCGTTGAGCAGCTGACCTGAATTTTTGGGTTTACGACTACTAATGTTCAACTCCGTAGCCTTGTCATTTCGAACCCAATCCAGAAGACAAGGAAACTCTTGGATCAGAGTATTGGGAGAAATTTGCCTTCATGGGGGACTTTTTGATGGAACTAACCAGCAATTGCGTTAAATAGAGATGAAACCCACTAAAACCTTCCACGGTTAGCCTGATGGCAAGGCGGCTCTTACTCATGATCCGTCTACCATTGAGGATATTTTACGTCAGCACTATGGTCGATGCAAGCCAGATGCGGAATTCGCACCGATCAGCCATCGCTGGGATTTAAACCCGTTTCACCACAATGCAAGGAAAACGCTCTATTCCCTGAGCCATTACGGCTCATAGACACTAACTGAAAGAAATAAAATGCACTAAAAAGCAAAATTAGTGGAGAAAGCAATGCTACGTATTTGTGGGGGAGGAACATGAAAATCACCAAACAATTTATTGATACTTTATTAATTTTGGAGATTCTACTGATATTATGGAAATTGGGAGAGATTTTATAGGTACTAAATATAATAATAAAAGAACAAAGTTTGATAGTTGAATATTTAGTTCCTATTAAAACTGCACTGTATTGAAAGTACCTATTAAGCCTATTAAAGTACCTTAGTACCTATTAAACTGGCTGTATATTTAATATATTCAATCCCTGACCAAATTATTTAACGCACTATAAGCTTCTATATAAAATCTTAATTAGCATTTGATACTTTACAGCATTATTGTTCTTACGCGGTTAAAACCGGTTTGCACTTGTTTACGCTCGTGTATTAATGGGTTAACGCAATATGTTAAAAATAAATACAAACAGGAAGTATATAAAATGTCTCCTGAATAAAAACCCATTACATGTAGGTTTAAATATAAAAGTATTGTATATAAACTCATGTAAAACATGTCATTAATAAAACACTACAGTTCTTCTAATAATTTGATGTAATTACTATAATATACTAATATAATGCTTGATGTAGCAAATATTCTATATTTATATAGTATATCGTCTAATTTATCCTATCGTCGAATTTATATTATATATCGTCTAATTTAATCAATTGATACACTAACGAAAACAAATGCAAACCGGTTTCAGTCGTGTAAAAACAAAAAATCTGTATAGTATCACCTGATAATTAAGTTTTTTCATAGAATAAAACTTAAGTATCAGGTCTAATAATTTGGCCAGGAATTGTATATTGATACTGTGGAAATTGGATTTGTAGCGCTCATCTTAAGGGATAAGCAAAGGAAAAAATTGTTTGATTGAGGTAAATTTTTACATGAGAATCATGAGTTGACCTCCATAAACATCATCATGTCAAATATTACTCTACATTTAATCTTTATTTTTCAATGGATTACTAAAAACGTGTTTATATAAATTTAATGAAGTTAAGTCAGCGAGAAGGCCAATAAACAAATGAATAAAAATATGGAATTATTTTAGTTTTCTTAATTTCGTCTGCATACGTCTATCAATCTTGCGCATAATTTTGCAGTGATGTTCAACCCTGATTTATAATCTTTTTTTTCACAATCCGGTACAGATAACGGGTATTCAGTTAGTAAAATGCATAATGCTTTTGCCAATTTACAGTAAAACAGTGATATACAGTCAAACCCCGCTATAGTGAACATGGTTTATAGTGAACTTCCGGATATAGTGAACGAAATGTTCACTCCCGTACCTTGCTACGCACATATAGTGTTATTTTTTGTGAATATAGTGTATCAAAAGAAGAGAAGAAATTGGATATTATGAACTTTTTTCAGACTGATCTTTATTTTCTACATTTTCTTGGTTTTCGTGATACTTCTACATAAAATACATATACCGGTTTTTTAAAACCATCTACTGAGTGAAATGTAGCCAGAAGCATTTTTTCTTGTTTGCTTCTTCTATCTCAGTTTCCCATACCTAAATAAAGGCCACCCCTAAATTTAGTGTACGCAAGACGAAGAGTAATAAAAAATAAAAGTTAACCCATTGTTTGTTACTACATATTGATTTTTAATAATTTTTGTATTTCTTTTTATTGATCATTTATTTAAATAATGTGTAATAAAGAGGAACAGTTCGGAAAAATTAGTTAAAATTGTTTGCAGTACG